TCCTGTCCCAGCTGCCCCTCTTCTGATCCAGCTGTCTGCGATGGTCTGAGAAAGCAGTGGAAGATGCCCCAAGTGCTTGGACTGCTGCACTTGCGTGGGAGACCCAGAGGAAGTTCCTGGGTCCTGGCTTCAGATCAACTCTGCTCCAGCCATTGAAGCCATTTGGGTATGGCTGACCTTCCCACGGATGGAAGACCTGTCTCTCTGTAACTCTGCCTCTCAAATAAATATAATCGTAAAAAAAAAAAAAAAAAAAAAAAAAGTGGGGGCGGTACATTCTAATAAGGGGCAGAGTATTCATGGTCTCCCTGAGAAGTAGGTGGAGTCTTCCCAACATCTAGCTACTGCCCGTTTTCACTGCTTGTAGGGTCCAGTGTTTCCTGTCATGGCGGCTAGCAGGTGTGTCATTTAGCGTGCTAATGTATTGCAATCAACCTAGGTCAGCCATAGCTCCTAAATTGGTCTGAGCCTGGTCCAGGCAGAGGCTAGAGGTGGGAGTGGGGCGAGGCATGCATGGGGCTGGGGTGGGGGTGGGGGTCTGTTTCTCTTCAGAGCAAGAGCAAGGAGAATCAAACCCATATCCTGTAGGACTGGAGATAACAGGAACTCCTCCAGTTGACTCCCTGTCTCAGAGTCAGGATCCCTTTGTTACAGTTAAAGGACCTCCTGCCATGAGTGATGCTGTTTGGGCTCCTAGGTAAGACTTTACTGGGAAGGCTAAGGCTTAAAAAAAATTTTTTTTAAAAAAGAAGCAGTTTGGAATCTAATAAACTCCTTCATTTTGCAGACAAGGAGATAGAATTAACAACAAGGAGGACGTGACTTTGGCCATGTTCTGTACTGGGAGGTGATCCCAGTCTTCCCACTTCCTCACATTTCACTGAGGAAAGCAGCACAAAATACCAGAAATTCCAAATCAGCTGCTTGTCAAGGGCCATCCTGCCCCACAGGTGTCCTGAATCTGGGCCCTGAGTTTAACAATTTCCTTGCACATTCATCACGTCCTTTCGAGGGATCATCTCTCCGAGAAAGCACTGTTCTGCTCTCTGAACTGGAAGACAGGTCTCCAGCTGCAGTTTTGTGTACACTGCTAACTGAGGCTACCCTACAGGTTTGTTTGTGGATATTTCAGCTAATTATCTTGCCACGGACCGTTGAGACAGATCTGGATGACTGTTCAATTAATAGTTTTGAAGGAGTAATTAGGGAGAATTCCTGCTCGTGCAGCCTACCCCAGAGCTGAGATAGCACTGTGAACATTCTCTTCTGAATGTGATTAATCACATAAATAATTCTCAGAAAAGAAATTAGAGATCACCCACGCATTCCACCCAGGAATGTTTTAAAGCATTACATCCCAAATCACTGTAATGAATTAGCATTACACTCTGCTTTGAATTCTTCAATTTGCCACATATATCCTGCCCTCTGAGCAGGTGGCCCCGTGGACTCTTTTAGTTTCTGTAACTACTAGAATTAGCCAGTCTACAAAGAACACAGATTTGGAAGTGCCCAAGCCTCGAGAAGGAAGGACGGTGTTACCTCTTCCCCAAAACACCAAGGTGCTCCAACACACTTGAAAGTTCACAGCTAGAGTTCTACACCCTCCGTCCAGGCCCTGCCCCATCCGCTGGTTGGAGGGCTCACATCAAAGCAACCCCATTAGAGACTCTTCCATGAGAACTGAATATGCAGCCATTCTGTTCAAGTCCTAGAATTGTCCAGTTACTTTCATTTGTAGGGAAATGTATGAACAACTGCACATTAATTCAGAAAAGCAATTTCATGTTAGACTAATTTATACAGATTTTCTTTAAATTTGGGGATTCTAAGAGTTAGTGGAGGGAGGCAGAAGGGAAAATGATCAGAGTAACCAAATTACGTAGGTTTTCTAAAAACATTGATTTTCTCCTCAATTTTAAAGTCAGTGATCTCCAGCAGCAAGTTATAATGATCCTAGAATTTTAGAGGACAAATTCAGTGTCTTTTTTACAGATGAGAAAACAAAAGTCCAGAAAAATCAAGTTCTTTGTTCATGATTACATAATTGTTTTTGTGATACGGGACAGCATTGTCTATTTCTTTGTGAAAGTATTCTAGAAAGAAAGCAGAATTTTAGTGAAGTTGTTACTTTACATGTGGCCTTTTTAGAGCCAAAACTGAGATATCAAAGCATTACCAAGGAATGTAAAATGAGACCAAATTTGTGTGACTTTTGTCAGATTTCATTATAAATAATCAAATATTATGAATATTGCCCTTTAGTTTAACAACAGAAAAACACTATAGGAATAAGAGTAAATTTTCAGTTTTCCATGAATCAAATAGCAGTTCTGAATAATTTTATAGCTAGACTGTACCTCTGATCTTTTGTTCTTTAATAAAGAAATGTATATGACTGGTGTACACTGATGATTAACCAAATTATGTGTGACTGGTGGATTCTCTACTGATTTTAAACATTATTGGAGTATTTCTTGGTTTTTCTACAATGAATAATAGAAAATCAAAAAAAAAATTATCTTGGCTCACATTGTGGCCAGGTTAAGGTATTGGTGGGTTAAGCCGCCACCTGCGACCTAGCATTCTGTGTGAGCACCAGTTCAAATCCCAATTGCTCCACTCCCAGTACAGCTCTCTGCTAATGCTCCTGGGAAATCAATGGAAGATGGCTCAAATGCTTGGGCCCCTGCACCCACATGGGGGACCCAAAAGAAACTCCTGGCTCCAGACGTTGGCCCGGCCCAGCCCCAGCCATTGCAGCCATCTGGGGAGTGAACTAGTGAATGAAAGATCCTCTGTCTCACTCTCTGTCTCTCCCATTCCCTGTAACTCTGCCTTTCAAATAAATAAGTCTTTTTTAAAAATTATTTTTTTAAAAAAGAAAAGTTATCTTTATGGATATGTAGTTAGTTCAGAAAATGTTTGTGTTGTGCTGTTGTGGTAACAAAGGATAGTTCACTGTCCAGCATTTCTGCACTTTGTCTTTTTAAAGGACCTCTGTGATGAGCTCGTACAGTACATGATACACATTATAGTAATCCTGCAATCTTTTCACCTAAGACAGAATTATTAGCTGAGTAATTCTGACTTATGAACAGTGTACTGAAGTCATTGGTAATGGTATATTTTTAATACTGAAATAAAATTAGAGTGATGTTCACAGTTGTCGAGTGAGGAATGCACCGACCATGGAATTTTAAGAAGCAATTTCTATAGCGGGGAGAATTGACTTTGGAAGTAGATTGATTTCACATCACAGCTTAGCTCTGTGCAAATGTAAATGATTGAGGTGTGGATCACCTAGCACAATGAGCATAATCAAACACAACTTTCATTAAGCATTGTCATCAACATGCTTGTCATCTGCACCCCTCTCCCAATGAGGAGTCATCCGTAGGCAGTGCATCTGTGTACTGAGCTCCGAAATTGGTGCCAGTTCGCGGGCCCATACTTACCAGCTGCCCACAGGCCAGGTGAACTTTGGAAAGATGGAGATTGTGAGAAACGCCTTGGTGGTGCTACTTAAGTAGGGCAGTTGTGGCTTTGCAGAACCCCAGTTGTGAAGTCACTGAAACCAGACTGCAGGTTACAGGTAGCGAACCCCACAACAGGTGGGTCTGTCCCCTCCGCACAGGAATCACCCTGAGTTTCACTGCCCACCTCTGTAGAGGTGCAGGCTATGTTTGCATCAATGGTAACATTCCATCCCACCACAGGCACCTGGTTTTATAGTTTTAACCATAGATAATTGTTTTTACTGTGCAGCCCCATCCTTAGTTTGAACTTGTTCTTTTGGAAAATAAGTATCATTCAGTTTCAGTTACTTCCTGGGGCTTAATCAGCTAATAAGCATAAGGCATTCTGACCACACAATGGCGTCAAGATAGCTCATGATATTATTAGCAGGCAGCATGTAATTAGCTTGATTGATATTTTTCCAAAATGTAGAACTGTTCCTACCTGATGTGAAAAACTTCTCCTGTAGCCATTATTCATTGACATTGACATGTCATTGGCAAATCCAGAAAATACCAAATGCTGGTTTGTGTACACTGATTTTTTAACCTTTTTTACATTAAAATTCTTCAGATAGATATAAACTTCCTTCAGTATTTATTGTCTTATTTACCCCCAAAATTGCAGGCACTTTGATAAATGGAGTAATAGTTTCTAGTGTCACTGTGGCTGTGAAATACATTTTAGTGCCTTCTGCCGCTGTAACTCAATAATTCATTTCGGCACATCTTTTTGTAAATCACAGAAGGTTTATTTGATGGACGGAGCACTGGGGAGAATGCTCTCCTTTTGTCAGTACAAATAACCTGCATTTGAGTGCCCATGTCTACTGTGCAGTCTTCATTGGCTCAAGATTGTCCACACCTCTGATGATGGATTCCACTTTCAGGGTGGGGCGTTTTTAATTTCCAAGCACACAAAGTCATAAATGTGTATGCTTCACTTAATAAGTAATTGCTCAAGATGGTGAGTGGTATTTCTTTTAGCTTATGGCCAGCAAGTCTGGAACCTAATTGGAAGCACACTTGTAGGGACTGTGCAGAATTTTATGGCCTCACTTTCTGAGTGAAGTAATAAACAAAATGAAGTGATATCAGGGTTGACTTCTAGAGAAGGGAAAATGTCAGTGGCTATGCTCATATATTAAGAAGACTTGTTTTTTTCTATTACGGTTCATTTTTGCCTAGACGTATTTGGGCACTTTTCAGACATAAATATGCATATGCCTTTGAGGCGCTCCCAATCCTCTGGGAGCGGGTATGGCAAACGGAATCTCACCTGCTGGGTAGATGGTGCCAGAGTCACACACAAGCGCTCAAGGGCTTATAGAGGAGAGCACTTAATTCTGACTGTCACGGTTATAGACGATCACTACCTGTGTTACTTCCTTTAATTGAGAAGTTAATCTCAAATAGCAAATAGATGTCCCCCGGGATAGGATCTCACCCTGATGGTCATTATCTTTGCATTTTGTCTTTTAGAGACGCCCAAGCAGATGGCCCGCGATGAAATTTCGAAGAGGTTCTGGACATCCTGCCTATGCTGAAGTTGAACCAGTTGGAGAGAAAGAAGGTTTTATTGTATCAGAGCAGTGCTAAAATTTGTAGGACACAACAGCACCAGTACTGGCTTACAGGTGTTAAGACTAAAATTTTACCGATACCTTTAAAACACATGCGCACACACACACACACACACACACACACATGCATACACACAGAGGAGCCCTGAGCTGCTGTAGCGTGAAGGAGACGAGATTTCTGGACAAGCCCAGCCCAGGAAGGGTACAAGAAAAACTCAGACTTATACGAGATATCATGTACACCGAACACAGGATCCCCTAGGGGGATGGCATCTCTAGTTCACATGGGGCATCTCCTGTGGATTTATCAGAAGCTATGACAAGATTACAATGCTTTTGCTTAGGTGCAGGGTTGCAAAGAGATCGAGAAAACAATAATAAAGCTTTAGTTCACAAGGGATCGACACCTTTGATTCAAATGTTCTTTGATGTCTCAAAGATAACTGTGTTCCAAAGCCCGAACCCTTTCACTCAGAAGAGCAATGAGGAATGTTTCAAGATTTTGCTAAGAAAAATTGCTCTGCAGGAGCAAGCGCAAACACAACATAAGGGATTTTCTATCTTTTCCAAACAGAGGTGTGGCAAAGGGATTTTGTTTTTCTGCTCTGGACCCATTTCTCCTAACAAATCTGTTACTTTACAAGGTAACTCGTTCATCTGTACAGGAGGTTCAAACTATGCCTGCCTTTTCCTCAGTAATGACTGCCCTTACTATGAGCTGTGACAACATTTCCAAACGTTTAGCTAAGGACAGAGAAAGAGGGAGTCACAAACGAGGCTTCCCATTCTCCTGCCTCAGAATAAAACATCTGATTTGTTTTAAGAGTGTTGACTCCACTTCCCAATTAGGAAGTCCCATGAAACCATTGTTGCTCTTGGCTGAAGGAAACAAAAGGAAATAATACGAAGAATTCCTTAATCATTTTTGGAACAAAAAATATTAAGAGATTTCCAACATGTGGGTTCTTAGGTGTTGCCATTTCAGTCAAAAGGCCCATTTCATTGTTGATTCCTGTCTAAGAAGCCATTCGAGTCAGCATATCCCTGGAGATGGGAAGAATGAAAGAACCCTGCTGAACCATACAGTAATTTTCTTTAAAGCACATAGTAGTTACATAAATATATATTATATATATAAATATATTTTTGTTTATAACTAACACAAGGCAGGCTCTTGTGACTCTAAGAGTGCATTTTGTCATCAAGACAAAACAAATGCAAGATGTATCACTGCATTACTTCCATAGAGTTGTAAAATAGTCCTTAATATCAGAATATTTTTATGTCACTTAGCAAAAGTGGTTCAATTAGTTACAATACCCATCTCTTTTCTGCCTACTTGATCCACTCTTTTCATTGGCATCAACCCCCCTTCCTTCCTCCCTTACTAAATAAAGCAGATGCAAGAAGCTCCTCCTATGGAGCTGTCATTTGTCCTGTCATCACAACCCAGGTTTTGAAAATTCCTCCTGAATGAAGAAAGGAAAGGCCACGCTCGATCAGTATGTACGCTGATCTCCCAAAGTTTGAAATCAAGCACTGTGTGTTTAATTTCATCAGCACCCCAACCCATGACACTCTTACAATGTGCTGACAACTGTTGCTTCTTCCAAGATAGAGTGCTCAACATTGCAGATTCAGGCCTCTAGGAGCAGACATGTCTCAAGAAGCACTTTACCAACAGCTTAGCATCTGTACCCAGAGTCTGCAATGGACATCGGTCCACTAAGTATCACTCTTGGCCAACACGTTACTCTGATGTAAACGGGTGTCCTTTTCCTTTGAGTGAATTTAGCTTTATTTTTGAGTACCTGATGAGGGTGGTAACTCTTTCCTAACCTACTGAGTTAAAAATGAAAAACAAGGTAATTGGAGGATGTGATGACAATCTCTGTGCCATAGCCATGTTCAGTTTCTGTAAAATATCCTGACTTACTTCTGGAGTAGGTTGGTCGAATAGCAGTAACCACACGACTTGCCAATGTAACTGGTGCAATGGTATTCTACAAATCCATAAGGAACACTTGGACAACTTCCTTTTTTTAGGATAACATGATGCTGCTTTCACTAGCTTTTGTGGCAGATGTGGCTTTTAGTAGCAGTTGATTGGCTGTTATATATATCTTGCATCTACTTCCAACTCCTTACACAATTCTTTGAAGTAGTCATGTTATCCTTACAATCTTCAGGGCTCACCTGCCATTTTAGATGGAAAACAATCAATAGTTCTATCTTTTAAAAAAGCCATGAAACTCTGAATTGTTCAGTGAACCAAAGCACCAGTAACAAGGAAATGTTTTTGGAGGTACACGGCTGCTAACATGTGGAAAAACTTCATAATAGAACTGAAAGCTAAAGTCTATTGTATGGGACTCCTTTGGTAGGAAGGACATCATCTGCATCCCCATCTCACATAAAGACATTTGTTCTATTTTGTATCTTGGGTTTGTTCCTGGTTCCCATTTGCTATGAGGAACAGCAACCAAACACAAAGTTTCTGGAAATTCAGAATGGACAGCAGTGCTTTGGACTACATACATGATGTGTTAGAGAGGGTGTGTGTGTACCATATTTAATAGATCGTGAATAATAGAATAACAATAAAATTAAGAATATAGCAGGATGTGTGCAAACTGCTGGAAAAATCAGATAAATGGTGCTACAGGGGGTTTTATTTAGTTATTTCATCCCAATTATATGTAAAAATAATGGCAATTAAAGGTATTAAAGTCAAAAAAATCTATTTAGTCAACCAGATGTCATTGACCACTATATTGGTTTGTTTATGAAGGGTTTAGACTTTTAAGTACACTAACAAATAAAAGACAAAGATAGATGATAAAGTATAATTGACCTCCAATTATTATTTCAGTTTGAGATGCCTAGCATATCTGCTAATCTAGACATGTAGCTTCTAAAGCTGTGTTGTCTGGTAGCCAAGTGTGGTTATTGAAATGTAAATTAATTAAGATTACATAGAATTAAAGTTCAGTTTTTCAGTCACACTAGCCATATTTCAAGTGCTTAGGAGCCAACATAGAACACATCAATCATCATAGGAAATTCTATCAGTTCTATAGAGGTATTTCCTTTGAATTCCTTCTCCTTGAAGAAAAAGCAGGAGACAGAAAAAGAGCCCTTGGGCATATCCAAGCCTATTTTATCTCAGAGAGGCCCCAAGGAGAAATGAAAAGAATACCACACACGATGCCACCTGCAATGGCTTTGAGCCTCCGCTGTGTCTCCTTGAAGAAGTCGCTTCAGTCTCCATGAGCCTCAACTTAGAATTTTGGAAAATATGTGTATTTTTGTCTTCCTTGCAAGATCATTACAAAGAAGGATAAATAAGCGGATATATAGACATTTAATAACTTGTATCAGTGTAACCCATGTAAAGCACATCTCCTGGTCCGAAGAATCGTTCAGTCCAAAACTCATTGAAATCTTGGTGCATTTTATGAGAAAGTGTCAAAGGAGAGTGCGTGCAAAACATACAGCAAATTCATTTTTGTCCAGTCTTAATATTCCCTCTGATATTTGCTCCATGTGACGTCTGTCCCTCTCCCACCCCAAAGTTGTCTGTGTGCACCCTTAACTGGCTCAGTTCCTGCTGCATAGAGTCCATTGCTTCTGTGGTTTCCTGGTTTCCAATGTCACAGCAAAGGGAGACCTACAACCTGACTCATAGACTTTTCTTTAGAAGTCTATACCTCAAAGATCAATAATTTCATATTTATTTTATCCCTGGAACACAAATGTAAGGGGCTTTAAAATATGAAAATATATAGCACTTATTTTTAAATGTAAAACTGCAAATGCTGACTATGAAAGGGATAAAATTACTTTATGATAATTTCTAGATAATATGTATTTTTAGATCAGTATAATTTACTAGCTTTTGGAAAAAATTCTTATGTTATTTCTTCATAAAAGAGCATTAAGTTAGCAATTTTCCTAGTGCCTGTTGCCCATTTGAGGAAACACTTTGCTAGATTCCTTGGTTCAAGGCATTTCCATTCTATGGTTTAAAAAATTAATACGTAAAAGTACTAAAAAACAGGTCCTATAGTTATGATTGCTTCCTCTTATGAAATGTTCTCTCTCTCTTTTTTTTAACCAGGCATTTTCCATATGTTTCAGTATAGTGTACTTTACTCGTTTTTTAAAAAAAATTATTTTACTTTTCTTTTCTCATGCCCACCCCTTCTTTTAGTGTCAGTGCCCATATGCCAGAATCCTGGGCGATCAAATCCGGCCTCTTCATCCTACAGATAAAAAAAACAGACCCAAAGAGATACGGTCATTTTCCTGATGTCAGAACTGGGTCTTGAATTTAAAACTCCTGACTGATCGGTTATGCTCCGGTTCTCATCATTTGTCAGCAATTCAGACCAATCAAGCAGTTTGAAAGGCAGAATCCATCTCAGAAACTAACATCATGTGCTGTGTCCAGTAATAGGCAACATTGAACCCATCTTCCTCTACCTAACTGCTGACTGCTGATTGTTGTTACTTTATAACTACCAGTGATGCCAAGTTCTAGCTTTTAGAGGGTTTTTGGTTTGGCATGGTCTTTCTCCCTCTCACTCCCATATGTTGCCATCTGAGTTAGCAATAATATTTATCCTCACAATTTAAAGTTTGTCTGCTTTTGCTTCATTTCTTCCCAAATGTACTAATTTGGGAATTAGTACATTGAAAACTAATGCCCTTCCCAGCAGGTTTTCTTACCACATATGTAATCAGTTTTTATTTGCTCTTTAAACTATCTGAATATTTTTGCCCTGAGATTTTTTTTTTGAGCAAATATTGTGAGGTCTATGGTGTTACCTATGACATATGCATAGTACCTTTTATTTGGAAAGCACTTTTCACTTTGCAGAGCACTTTGATACATCTCTTTATTTGTTCATTCGTGCAACCACTTCATTCCCTTCAATATTTATTGAGCACCTATTGGAACCAAGCTGCTGTGCCAGATCTTATGGTATATAGTGACAATTACAAATAGTGACAGCCCAAGCCTGTCAGCTGATAAATAATACAATGAAGTTCTCAAACAGAACTTTTCAAGCAGATAGGATCAGTGTTACTCTATCAATTTCCAATTCGTTTTCACTTTTAGGGAGCTATCAAATATTTACCTAGAGAAGGTTTCAAACTATAATACGTCATCGCACATCTGTGCTGTTTGTTTTCATTTCATTTATGAGAAGAAAAGTTACTCAAAGTTGTCCCTGATCCAGAGTTTCCAAGTCACTTGCGTTCTCACCGAGCAGAGACAGCGGTTAAGTGTCACTTTCTTCACATGTATGTCTATTGGGGCTTTTTGAATTATCAACACCAAAACTAAAGTATTAAGAAGTACCAGTGTATCAAGGAAGCAATTGCACTTTAGGTGTGTGTGGTTTGTTATGCCATTTTGTCAGACCTCAGGTTTCTCAGTCCGGCACTACTGGTATTTTGGACCTGATAATTCTTGCGAGGTGGCATATGGTTCTGTGCGTTTCAGATTATTTGATAGTTTCTATTGACCAGATAGTGGGACACAACATGCCTCCCTTTGTAACAGTTAAAATTATATCCAGACATTACCAATGTCCCCTAGGGTGGCAGTGGGGGAAAGATTAGCAAAAATCTCTCCTGGTTAAAACCTCTGTATGACCTAGCAAGCGGAAGGTATCAGAAATGGGATTTTTTTTTTTTGCTCTTTTCCTTGCCATTTAATCTTCATCATGGGTAGGTTTTTATTTATAATAAACCTTAGAATCAGGCCGGCGCCGCGGCTCACTAGGCTAATCCTCCACCTAGCGGCGCCGGCACACTGGGTTCTAGTCCCAGTCGGGGCGCCGGATTCTGTCCCGGTTGCCCCTCTTCCAGGCCAGCTCTCTGCTGTGGCCAGGGAGTGCAGTGGAGGATGGCCCAAGTGCTTGGGCCCTGCACCCCATGGGAGACCAGGAGAAGCACCTGGCTCCTGGCTTCGGATTAGCGCGGTGTGCCGGCCGCAGTGCGCCGGCCGCGGTGGCCATTGGAGGGTGAACCAACGGCAAAAGGAAGACCTTTCTCTCTGTCTCTCTCTCTCTCACTATCCACTCTGCCTGTCAAAAAAAAAAAAAATAAATAAAATAAAATAAACCTTAGAATCATAAACTCCATGAATTAAAAGGAACTGCCAAAGCCACACACATCCCAACCTCAACCCAACCTCATCCTTATCTATTTCTCCATCTCTCAGTTTTACAAATCTATTGAGAGGAGATTGGAAGATTGATTCTCCCTGGAAACTTGGGAATTGGTTTTTCTGTAGCTGGCACTAAGGCTGTTTGATAATGATGCATTGCTACTGGTGCTGTGATAGCTCTTGCAGCGATCTTTGCATTCAGATGGGGACTTGATACTGAAGTCGTGCAGCTTCTGTATCTCAGAGACTGCTTTGGGGGCTTTCTTGTGGTCATTTCACACATTTACAAATCTTGCTCTTAGTTCTTGTCTCAAAATGTGCGTAAAAATTGAAACTTGGTGTATCTGATTGTAAGTATGCCTAGGATGAACTTCCAATTTCTGTTTTTATTTTCTGAAAATTTTCTTGTTTGTATCATCAGAATTTTCTCTTATGCAGTCAGCTATGGGCTTAAAGCAGTAGTGATAATACTGATTTTTGTTGTTCCTCTATGGGAGGTGGGGGTGGGGAGAAGGATGGGAAAATGTTTGCCCCAAGTAATTGATAACTGGAAATTTCAGTGTGGGAATGCTTAAATCTGTCCAGCCAAAGTTTGTACTCATGTGATGTGCCTTCTGACACCTTCCCTGTCAAGTCAGTGATTTCCTGGGGATTACTGTGAATCCAATCATTTTGCACTTGGGACTATCTTGCACCAACTGAAAAATGTGTTGGAGTTATACAAAGATTTAAGAATATTCCCCAAAGTAATAACAAACTGCCAACTGGAACATCAGGCTTCCCTTTAATTCTGTGCTAGAAGGCCAACGCAGACTTTGAAAACACTCATGACTATAGAATGCAAATGTACTAATCAGAACACACAACTGAAAGCCTTAATTGCAGCATCGATAGTTATAAAATATTGACAAGCACACAGAGAGCTGTCATGCGACAGTCGTGGAATTCAGACAACTCCTACCTAGGATACAGTTTTCTACTCTTCCACATACCAGACTACGTGGTACTGATTCCTACAGTGTTGATTAAGTTGATCTTCTAGCTCAACTTAAATTGTAATAGATCAGCCTAATTATTTCCCAGCATACTGTTTGAACCATCCAGTGCCCATTGATCTCACAATGATTATTGTAAAGAAGCAAGATAATAATTATTAAAGAAAATATAATTTCTTGAGTTAGTATTCCGTAACAAGTTAATGGTTTTTCAATAATACATTTATTACAAATGACCAAATTATGCCTAGATGGAAAAAGTGCTCAAAACTTGTTATCTTTAAGTTAATCTGTAACTCACTGTCAACACTGAAAGGTTGTATGTTACTTTAAATCCAGGATAAAAGACTGGAAAAAAATTTAGTGCAAATCATAAGCTGGTACTCATCTTTTTCTAATTTCTAAGATTTATTAACCTTTGAAAATCACTTTTAAAAAATCTCCTAATGGAATAAAGTTGAAATTTTTGACTTGGCAGACTGTGATATTATATTCATTTTGATTCTGATTGAAAAATCTGGATGACTTCTATCTATCCCACTGGAGTTTTGGTTTTTAACAGCACTTTTCCTTTTCCCAAGCATTACAAAAACATATATTCATGACTTAATGGAAGTACTCATCCTGATCAAGCAGCTGTAAACTTTTTGTGCATAAAACTAATTTTAGAAGTTTGCTGTGTGTGGAGAGGTATAAACATAAAAGTGAGTAGATGCAGATGATTCAAGGGGGGTGGGGGAGAGCTAAATGTTCTATCAGGCAAAGAGTTTTCAACTTCTTCAGAGCAGTGTGCAAATAAATATTCAATGAAACCAGCTTAAATTTGGGTCAGCCAGACATTCAAATACTGGAGCACAGATCGTGCCAGCAATGCTGAGACACAGGGTGAACAGAAAGTGCAGGCTGTACCCAGGTGGTCCCAAGCTCAGCGTCACCCACCTGTACGGCTTTCATGGCGCCAACCCTAAAATACTTGAGCCTCCCGCTCTAAAGAGTTGGGTGACTATGATCAGCTAATGATTTGCATTTCCTTCCTTCTAACTTAAAAGGCACGGCCGTATTCTTTGGTTCCCTTCTATCAGAGACCAAGTGTCAGCCAGTCACACAGGCAATTAAAAAAAAAAAAAAAAAACTTAATTTTTTGCTGGATCTCCGGTGACATGTGACCATCTCTGGGCCCAGACTCCAGTGCTACTGTCTAGACAGCGAAGTGATGTCTAAGCAGCCTGTTCAAAGATTGTCATCTTTATAGCAGGGAAATAAAAACTCAAATGAAGTGTCCTCCACCAGCCTACTCAGAAAATAACATTAAGTGAAATCAGAGCATCTTGCCAGGACACATTAACATCGTTTTAGCGAAGTCAAGTCAGTGTGTTGAGACACAGGCGTTTTGTGTAGATGCAGGGCCGGCCCTAGCTGAGAAGGGAGGGAAAGTCTTTTCAGGGGTTACTCGAAACACATCTCTCATTTGCCTGATTAGAGCTTGAGGCATTTGAACGGTGCCTGGGAAGTACATTATTTTCAGGGGGGAAAAAAGAGAGACTGCCTTTTTTGCTTGCCAGCTGGGATCATGGGAACTTTAAATGGCAGGAATTTACTACTGTTTCTGGTAATTCTGCCTGTAGTCACTGGAAATGTTTAAGTGTGAAAAGAGAAGCTGGGCGTTCGGGGGCGGGATGGGGGGCTGGGAGGGGTCCTGTGCGATGCCAGTTGCACCACACACAGAATATTTGTGATGCATTTCAAAGTGAGTATAATTGTACCCTTTGTCAGAATCACAAAGCCCTCTGTGGCGCTGCTAAAAGAGGACACTGAGGAAAATCTGACCCTAGAAAGCCAGTCAAGCCCAGACAAAAGACGAGATTGTGTGAGTGGGCACAGTGCACTGCCAGCCCCTTTCCCAGTGTTGTAGAAAGCCCTTCGTGGCCAACCAGGGCTATGCCTTTCAGGTGAAGGTTAATTTAACAGAGGTTTTCCAAAACTTCATTAAGCCTGGGCTTGGAAAACTGAGCGTTTTGACTTTATTCCAGTCTTCTGGGCATCATTCCTGGTCCCTCTGCCATGTCAAAGACATTCCAAGGCTACCTTCTGTCGAGCTAGAATAACACACACAGACTTGACAATGACCTTATCTTGGACGTACCTGAGCCTGTGAATATTAAAACGGTTGTATCTGAATCTGCACTAACGGTAGAAGAAGCGTGGCAATGGGAGCCCATCATTCAAATCCAGTCATTCAGATGCTACGTGTGCAAGCTTCATGGTTGTTTTCACTGTACAAAGAATTAAGTGCAAATGTATATCTTATGATCCATTCATTTGCCATAAGTCTTTTACTTGGGGATCATTATGACTGCAATAATTCATTACCTTTTTCCTCACAGTTTCTTAAACCAAGTTTTTCCGCATTTCTGGTTCTGCTTATAGTGTGTGGCAATCTTGATTTTTTTTTCCTAGTAATAATTTGATAAGAAAACCAGTGTATTGACTGCCACAGTCACATCATCTTTAGGGATCTGGAATCTGAGAGTGACCAAATGTTACCCGTGTTCTCACTATTGATTACTACTTTAGGATTAAATCATGTTTTTTTCACTTTCAGTTGGAGTCAACAACTTTGGGATTTTAGAAAGGGGGAAAAGGGAGCTATTTGTGTAATACTGCTGTCAGATTTGACTACATATTAAAAACAATAAATGAGCATTTTGTTTTAATTTCTTAAATACTTTTATCTTTGTCTTTCAACATACTGTTATTTCCTTTCCTCCACTGGTTTCAAACATTTTGCCTGTTGTGGAAGGAATGTGTGTGCAGAGTGCAGAGCCACAGGTCTACTGACTCAATAGAAAATCCTTTTGCTTCTAAACATGCCCTAGTCTGGAGACTACTGCCAACTGAAGTGAGCCGTAGGAAGGAAACTATGTAGGAAGTTACAGCTTGCAACTGGGTAGAGGCTTGCCCCACTGTTGAATTCCCCTGGATGAGACAAATGGGATTTTAGCTGCCTTATTTATTATTTATTTATTTGAGAAGCAGAAGACAGGAAGTAGGAACTCCCATTTGCTGGCTTCCTCCCCAAGCACCTTCAACAGCTGGAAGCTAGGTCAGGGCAGAGGCTGGAAGCTGGCCACTCAACCCAGGTCTCCCACATGGGTGACAGGTGACTGAGCCTTTGGGTCTGCATTGGCATGAAACTCAAGTGAGGAGCCAAGCCTGGAGTTGAACCCATGCACTCCAATGTCGGACGCCGGCATCATGGCTGGCATCTTCACTGCTAGGCTAAACGCCACCCTTTAGCTGCCACTTGAAATTCTAGTGCTGCAAGAAGTCAACAAACTTGAGTTCACCTCTTGCTTCTGTTGCTGGCCTTGCTTTATAAACACCTCAGATCTTCCAAATGTGTTCTAGAAGGTTCTCTATCATTCCAACGCCCTTCCCCCAAACAAAATGATTATTCATTAATTCTCAGATGATTTCAGTGAAGCGTGTAAAGTGAGATCCTATGAACTCCAAATTTGTCTGCCCTGATTCCTGACCACCTCTGCTGGCCTGCCCTTTTATCATATCCATCACGCACAGGTCTGAATGTGGGGCCAAGAAGCACACACAGTACCTGAAGCTTTCAGGGATCCCTGGCGGTGGCCTTTACTAAGCAATTGCTCTGTGCTATTCAATTAATGATTTTTAAAAATCTTATTTCTGTGCAGCTCTTTTGGACTGTATTGATTACACTTTGATACCATGGAGCACACTCAGAACTGCAGTTTTAAACCATGTGAATTGTCCTTGTGATACCCAAAAGGAAAAATTACTAATGTTAATCCTGCAGGTTTCCCTAACAATAGAGAAGTGTAAAAGCCAGTGCTTTAGTGCTTTAAGAAATCATTTAATGTGTGGCCTTTCTTTAAATAATGCTGTAGAATCACTTGAATGATTTTCATTAAAAAATACTTATGATAACCATACAACTTTTTTTTAAAAAGATTTATTTATTTATTTGAAAGAGTTACACAGAGAGAGAAGGAGAGGCAGGGAGAGAGAGAGGTCTTCCATCCATTAATTCACTAACCACAATGGCCGGAGCTGATCCGAAGCCAGGAGCTTCTTCCAGGTCTCCCACACAGGGGCAGGGGCCCAAGGACTTGGGCCATCTTCTACTGCTTTCCCAGGCCATAGCAGAGAGCTGGATCAGAAGTGGGGCAGCCGGGACTCTAATAGGCACCCGTTTGGGATGCCAGCACTGCAGGCGGTGGCTGTACCCACTATGCCACAGCACCTGCCCCACCATACAACTTTTAAATTAGCCAGAGTCAGCCCTTCTAAATCTAGAGACCACATCTTCTCAAAGTTCTCTTCTAGGCCAGTGCCGTGGCTCACTTGGCTAATCCTCCACCTGTGGCGCCGGCACCCCGGGTTCTAGTCCCCGTTGGGGTGCCAGATTCTGTCCCGGTTGCTCCTCTTCCAGTCCAGCTCTCTGCTGTGGCCTGGGAGGGCAGTGGAGGATGGCCCAAGTGCTTGGGCCCTGCACCCCATGGGAGACCAGGAGGAAGTACCCGGCTCCTGGCTTCAGAATGGCACAGCGCCGGCCGTAGCAGCCATTAGGGGAGTGAACCAACAGAAAAAGGAAGACCTTTCTCTCTGTCTCTCTCTCTCACTTTCTAACTCTGCCTGTCAAAAAAAATTTTTTAAATAAAAAGTTCTCTTCTAAACCACTGTTTTCAAAATCAGTCTTCTGACATTCAGTTTGGATGGTGAATCTAGGCTAAAGGCCCAGGCTAGGAATATTTACACAGCACAGTGAAATCACAGGAGAGGGAAGAGTTATTTCTGTGTATGGAGAAGACCTGGAGCCTTTTAAAGCAAGTAGTGTTTGAACTCAGTCCTGGGTAGGCCTCACCAGGCAACAGGTAGGCATGCCAGGGAAAGAGGGGCTGTGAGCACTGGGGTCCGCTGCTGCAGAGAGGCACCCGAGGAGGTGAGCAAGGAGATGAAGGCTGGAGTGTTGAGTGGCCAAGGCAAGAGAGTTGGGCCCTGGATTGAGTCCATGACCTTAAGAGTTTGCCATCAAAGCAATAGGTGTACTTGAAAGCTTTGAAATAGCCCTCTGTGATACAACCCAAAGTATTTTAGAAAGATCACCCAGTAGACAGACTCATGGCTGGATTTCACGGTGCCTATGGGGAGCCTGCCCCAGAGGTGACTTCTGAGGTCTGGCCCCTGCATGGTGATTTCGGTCCCATCTTAGTTCTCCAGTCTTCATCTGCACGTCTCAGTCCTCTATGAATAGATCCAGACTCATCTGCTTGTGTGAACTGCCCTTCTCTCACAGCCACTCTCCCAGCACGTTGTGTAAGGATTTATGTTATAAGGAGGTATAATCAGTACAGAAGAACATCTATTTCCATCTCCTCAATGTCATGCATTTGGCAGGTTTTCATGAGAAACCAGACTTGCCCAGGTTGGCCCATCTTGTATAG